GTGAAGGGGGAGGGGGAGAGGTTGTTGTGAAAGGGGGAGGGGGTTTCATCATTATTGTGGTCACGCCGTGATCCACCTTAAGTCGCTGATTTGGTCCTGCTTACTGCAGGACCAAGCGCCACGCCGTCCGAAGCGACAATGAGCAAAAGCATGACAGCAGCGCTGTTTTATATCTTTTCAGGTTCAGAACCTGATAGGATTTCCCGCAGTTTTTTATGAATGGGGCGGAGCAGAAAGTTTCTTTTGTGCAGAATATGTAAAATAGGATGGACTTTGGATGTTAATATAATTGCATATATAGAGGCACCAGATATGTTTTACCGTCAGTTGTGTGTAATTCACCAACTGAATGTCATCAAACATGTCTTCAATGCAATTTTTTGTTCAAATTTGGTAAAACTTGGTTTTACTAATGATTGTGGTATGTTTAAAATTTATTTCCCGGAAAAAAGGGATCATTAAAGTCTGTCTCGTTTTCGGGTTATTGATGAGGGGGGTTTTAGAAGTGGTATTTGAGGGGGGGTGGGTAGGAGAGGTATTTGAGGGGGGGGGGGGGGGTAGGAGAGGTATTTGAGGGGGGGGGTTAGGAGAGGTATTTGAGGGGGGGGGGTTTAGGAGAGGTATTTGAGGGGGGGTAGGAGGGGTTTGATGGTGGGGAGAGGGGTAGGAGAGGTTTCATGGTGGGTGGGGGGGTAGGAGAGGTTTGATGGTGGGGGAGGGTAGGAGAGGTTGTTGAGGGGGGGGCCGAGAGATTGTTGTGAAGGGCGTGTGTGCTTTTCCTCATTGTGGTCACGCCGTGATCCACCTTAAGCTGCTGATTTGGTCCTGCTTACTGCAGGACCAAGCGCCACGCCGTCCGAAGCGTTAATGAGCAGTGGCATGAGACCAGCGCTCATTTATATCTTTTCAGATTCAAGCAGAATGATGTGCAACCAAGTGGTATTCGTTTATGATGACTGGGTTTGCGAAAAAGGCTTATTTCATGAAAACAGTGATAAAATTATCATTTGTACATTTTCAAAAGTTTAATTACAGAAAAATTGGAAAAATATTTATTTCAACAGGTTCGTAATGTAATATCCTATCGATTGGCGTATTTGGATTTTAATTTCATCTATAAATGACAAAGTTACAAGCGTTCAAAACCTAACACTCCTTCACCACACATATTTTTTGACTTGCACCCCAGTATAGTCGACAAAGACGTAGTTCTACGTCAAAAAACTAGCGTAGGCGTACTTTGGCTACTCCACCACCAGCTGACTCGAGTAACAAACATTCTCAGACGGAACAAATCTGTTTCGAAAACATCTGCCATGGCGTTATTGGACGTTGAAAAAGCGTTCGACAATTTCTAGCATCATGGCCTGGTGTTCAAATTGCAGCAGTATGGTCTTCCAGTGAAGATAATAAATAACTATTTTTACTATGTGTAACTGTGTATGACTTCTGCGTGAAGTCAACGATTTACATAGTTGAAGATGTTAATTTCAAATAACAGACTAAAGTGGTAATTTTTATACGATAGATGAGGAGATGAAAGTATAGAGTTGATAGTTCCGTTAGAGTACGGCAGTGTGAAAATTGTATATAGAGAGTAGAAAGCGAGCAAGGACAACTTTTTAGGAAGGTACAAATCGGTTTGATCATCTCTCTTTAGCAAAATCCCCCGTTGGAGAGGGATGGTGAGGGGTATTCCCCCACGCAGTAAAATCGATAGAACTGACGATGTGTTTCGTCGGTACATGAGCGAGTCGGCGATCATCTCTTTTTGCCAGTGGTGGCGGGGGGACGTTCCGAGTCATTCTGAATGGCATCACATCGGATGCTTTCAACATCGGTTGCGAGGTTCCACAAGGAAGCATCCTTGGCCCCATTCTATTCAACCTGTTCACCTCCGATATGCCGGCTCTCCCTGATGGTGGATCGTTGTCTCTGTTCGCAGATGACACATCCTTCGTTTACAAGGGTATGGTCATAGGAGCTCTGACTGCCAAACTGTCTGAATATTTCAACAGTTGGAAGATCCGTATCAACACGGCAAAGACCCAGGTCATCATCTTTCCACACTCTAAATCTCCCAGACTTGTTCCGTCGGAAAATAATAAGATCTGCCTGAAAGGCACAGTGGTAGACTGGTCGAAAGAGGTAGTCTACCTCGGCTTAACACTAGACAGCAAGCTGATTTTTAGGGAGCACGGTGATAAAACGAAAACCAAGTGTAACATCCTGATAAGATTCCTATATCCACTCATCAACAGGAGGTCTACCCTGTCCCTGAAAAATAAGCTTGCTGTCTACAAACAAATCATCCTTCCCGTAATCGTTGCGTCAAATGTCATCACCTCAAACTCCAAAGGATCCAGGACAAGATCCTTAGGATAATCCTAAACAGTCCTCCGCGAACTAGAAACTCTGGGATCCATCTCCTGGCTGGAATTCAGACATTCCAGTCATTTTTGCTCCCCAATTTGAGTTTGTTTGGTAAGAAACTGACTGTACACAAACCATTTGAAATTTGTATGGGTATTACTATGGTAGATGCAAACTTTTTGTTCATTGCTTTCTACCCTTTTTATATTGCTCTGAGAGAAATTTCGATAACTATCTTGTAGGAAAAAAATCAGCTACAATTTTGCTGAATATCGTTTTTACGAGAATTAGAGAGCTTGTGACTGGTGTACACAAGATGGTGAAATATATCACTGAAACGTTGAAGAGTTGAGACGTTTTTGCTGCTTTAGCCGAAAATCCTCCTGTAGTCAAACGACAAATGAAATAGTTATTAATTATTTAAGAGACTGGCAATCTTATGACATGATCAAGCAGCTATTTTGTGGGAAACACTGTATTGTACAGTGTCACATATTTAGCAGCCATGATTGTTGTGCTCTATTTAAAGCACCTGAAGCTTCAATGTTGCCTGCCGAGCCATTGATTTAGTATTGTCATAAGACATCAGCGTCTTGAACCATTCATAACTTTTATAGAACATTTAACCGAAGTGGTCTTCTGCAAAGTTGAAAATTGCATACCATCACAGCTATCAGATTTTTTTTCAAATATAAATATTAGTCCTGTTCATTTTAAACGAAATGTTCGGAATGTAACGGGTCAACCGTGATTACTGTTCGTCATGTTAATTTGAACTTCTGTGCAAATTTTCAGCAAAATCGGTGATGATTTAGAGGTGCTTCAAGTTAATTTTATGATTTTAGGGTAATTTACGGCTTATAATATTTGTACCTCGACACTGAAACAACGAAAACTGCTGTAACAACTTTCATAGCAAAGCTTAATGTGATATCTATCAACTTTGTAACCAAAGGTTGAATATTCAAAGTGATTTTATTGAAGTTTGACTTAGTTTCATGCTCGAAGATATCTTAAAAAGTGACGAATTTTAAAGTATTTGTTCTACGAATTTTCCACCCATATGATATAAAAATGTGTAATTTACGGCATAATGTTCCTCATATTGTTGTAGAAATTTCGTTCATATACAGTTTTCGAGTATATTTCATAGATTGAGAGATAAAAATCAGAAAAGAAGCCGTTATAGCTAAAATTCACAAGACAATAAAAGTTCAATTAGATTGACAGAACATAGTTGCATTGCTTTTCAATGACGACCGATTACTGTTTCATTGATATATGATTTTTTCATAAATATGAATCCTCAGTAGACGTGTTTTTTATCAAAGGCAAGTGTCACTCGAGCCATTCAAAATGTTCGTTATTTTATAAATTGCTGTTATGGCAACACAATAGTTTGGTAAAGAAGAATTGCATTATAACACACCATCGACTGGAAATACTCTCGCAAACGTGGGGCTTTAGGTAGTGATGAAACATCGCTAGAACTATTCCATGAGCAAAAGGAGGACGCACATCTTTTGCCTGTAGACTTGAAGACATACTCTCCGCGTACATCGGACGGGTTAGGCAAAAGATGTGCGTCTGACTTTAAAAACTGTCGCATTAATGGCCCTTCGCTCATTTTCAACTTCTATTCAATTTTCATACTGCTTAGAGTATGGCTACGGAACTATCCACCTACCCTCTTCTAAAGATCATTCTCTAGCTAATAAATTATCACACTAAAGCTTCATGTTAGCATTTCCAACCAACTCTGAAAATCGCTAACTTCGCGTATGAAGTAACATAAAAACACTTTGAATATTATAAGCCGTAAATTACCTTAAAGGGCCCATGCACTAATTATGTCACGCTAAATCGAGCAAAAAATTACCCCCTCCCCCCTATCGTGACGTTTTTCCTATGCCTAATGCATTGCTTGTCACAAAATCTTAGACCCCCCCCCCCCCCTCCCCCCTTAGAGCGCGACATAATATATGCATTAGACTGAAGCAAATTTTGACATTTTCGCTCCACAGTGCTCAAACGGTTTCAAACCGGGTAATGATTAGTCTCCCAAAATTTGAACTCATTTGAAAACAAACTGACTTGGCACAAACCATTTGAAGTTTATATGGAAATTACTATGGGAAATCCAAACTTTTTGTTCATTGTCTTCTTACCTTTTTCCATATGGCACTGTTCAAAAATTCAAAAGCTATACTTATGGAAAATTTTCTTAGCTTCAACTTAGCAGAATATAGTTGTTGAGCCAAACGTCAAAATATATAGTTATTAATTGTTTAAGAGATTGATAATCTTATGGCATGATCAAGCAATTGTTTTGTGAGCAACACTGTATCTTGCAGTGTGACATAGTAGCCATGATTTTTGTGCTCTATTCCAAGCGCCAGAAACACCAATGTTGCCTGCTGAACAGTTGATTGAGCATAATCGTAAGACATTAGTGGCTTGAATTATTGATAACTTTTGATGCTTACATTACATTGAAAAGTGATTCAAGACAAAGTTGTAGCTGAGTAAATTTTCTACGAGCACTATCAGGATGACACTGACCAACACTAGCGCTTGTAGGCTTTCTTTTCTGTTCTGTCACACTGACAAGACCATCTTCATTTGGGTTTTCTTATTCCTTGGATCAATTTCCTATAAACAATCTCTTTCTTTTCCTAATTCCATAGCATCTTTACCTCCGGTTATAATTCAAATAATTCTGTGTAACCAATGACTGGAATATACGCCGATAACTATATTCTAGTAATATATAATTTTTCTGAGTGTATGTCTATGACTAGTTGTTTCCAGTTTTCCTTGTTTACCCTTCTTCACATTGTTAAGTATAAATCTCTAATTTCGATACTGTCATTTACCGTTTGCTTTTGGTGAACTGTTTTTTTGTTTTTAATTAAGGTGATTAATTGCATAATTCAACTACTCCTCTCATGTCCTTCGTCTGTTTTGCTGCGAGCTACTGTGTTAGCTCACCATTTGAATCAACTAATTTCCCAGAAACTGCCTAAAATTGTTAACGATTCGTCGGTTCTCGTTGATTTACTTTACTATAGCCACCAATTTGATTACTGGATGAGAATTTCAGATCTCGACCATGGGAAACTTTATTATTAGAACCGACGTTTCTTGAAATCTGCTTTTTTAACAATATTTATTGTTGTGTGATTTTTTATTAGTTATAAATCCTAATAGCTTCATAACTTATTCAATTCAGAACTGTGAGTTGTCTATAATACTGACAGCTCCTTTCATTTAGCTATGGTCTCTAGTTGTTGTTTATTTTGTTATAACATATATCTTCTCAATAATAAGGCCTCCTTTGATTTCTTCTCATCGTTAGTCAAGGAAAATTCCTTGTGTTCATTTTTGTGTGTTAGCGTGTATGTAAATTCTTTAGTAAGGTGAACTCTACAGTTGGGTGTTGGTGTACTTGTGAAAGTTGGATAAAGTTGTTCTAGTTTGCGTATGAGTGTGTATGTTTATGCTGTGTCATGTTAAGTTTTATAAAAAAAATGGGTTAATGTTGACTTTTATCTCTGTGCCCACAACAGCTGCAGTTTCAACGGTAAAACTTTTGCCTCTAGTTGTATTTATGACTTTTTATTTATGAAACACCCTGTGGTTAAAATCTACCATTTTTAGGTTCATTTTTTTTTGTTAATGTTGACATGTGATAATTTATTATCAATGTTTGATGATCGCTATACATTCGACGTTATTCGACTTAAGAGACGTGGTCCCTTACTTGTTTGTTGATTTAAAAATCTCTCCTTGCTATTATGTTGACTAGTTTTTAATAAGTGATTCGATCAGCTATGTTTCACTACACGTAACCTCCATTCCTGCTCTATACCATATGTGCAATTTATTAGTATATGAGGTTAGGTATTTCTACTTCAACATTGGTGGGTGAAGTGAAGCTTCCGCTTCTGTCTTCTGTCCCAGCTGGAAGATGTCAGCCGAAAGCCTTCACTCACTCAATTAAGTGTTTTGCGCCCAATTCCCATTTTGTTAAGAGAAGGGATATTCTCCCAACTAGTAATTACATCCAAATAGTTGTCTCAAAAGTCCCGGTCAAACAAACGTTTAGGCCTTCATGATAACCAAGAAAACGATAACTACAGTGGGTAATCGCCAAAAACTGAACCTCTCCGATTGGTTTAGAATTTTGCTTTCGATAAGTTTACATCCGATTGGTAAGAGTTTGTCCTGTTTTCGTGATGGCAGTTCAAGTGTGTATTCCTCTCTCTCTCTCAACATCCTTCTACTAAATGACTAGATAATACTCATGATGGCGTTCTGCTCCATTCGGTTGCCACCCAACAATACTATGTACAAAACAAGCACCTCCTTTGAATAGGCCCTATAACCATCCTTGGGATTGGAAATGTCCCCGCACCGGAGTGACTCCAGGGATTCTATAGGAAGGTTGCTGGCCTGATGTTCTCTGACCGCCTGGGGTCGTAAGTTCATCAATATTCACCGCTCGACCCTGTATTTGTAGGAGCGGCTCAGTTGAGCTGATCCTCGTGTGTGACGGATTGTCGACACTTTCCTCCGTCGTCGACGGTGTCAACGGAGGGTCCAGTTGATTTTCCATCGAGTTATGCTGGCTTTGGGTTTGTTCGTGTCGGGGAGTCTTCAGCGGAACACTGGCGTCTTCTGTAGCGCCCTCTACAATGACACCACCGGCGTTGCCAATGACAACCTCGTCACACCCGCTGCGTGACGACGGCACACTAGATGCACGTTTCAGCACCTACGGAACATGATCAGGATTATGAATTTGAATCGGAAATACATGCAGTCATCATTCGCTCGTTGGGTTGCTTTAAAAAGGCGTTCCAACATTTCTCCTGTATACTTGAAACCGTCCCAGCATTCGAATGATGACTAATGTTAGAACACAGACAAAACTAAAGAAAAAAGTGTAAAACCTCAACATTTAAAAAAGCTTGATAAGTTTTAAAAAGCAAAAACTGATTTAATATGCCTTTAACCCTTCACGCTGTGTTTGTTAGAATAACATTAAAAATAAAACAAACAAAAAATGACATTTGCGGAACTTTTACCATTTTCCGATAATTTTGAGACACCGCATCCAGGTCAGACTCAGTTATCCATCGCAAACAAAAACTCAATAATTCAAATCAACATTACCAATTTATTGGGACTTGTCTTGTCTGTCCGCTGGTGGTGTTACTTTGTGTGATTGAAGGGTCGTTTTTAAGAAATCTGCGATGAAAGTAAAAAAGTCTACTGCTGATAATCGAGACCAATGTGTATTCCACAACATAATAACATTTGAATAAGTACGAAAATCAGGCCATCTATAGTAGAAAACTTCAAGCAATGTGTTAAAAGCTCAGACGTTTCGAAATTAGCTTTAAAGTGGTCTTAAGATTATGAAAATTTCAAAATTAGCTTTAGAACTTTAGTTGATATGTATACGAAATTTCAGCTAGCTTGTATTAACGATTTTAAGCGCAAAAGCCATCTGTTTCAAAAATAGCATAATTTACAAACAGAAAACCAATACAGAACAACCGTAACACATCTTCCAAAATCATGGCTCACCCATCACATACCTTACTGCTAGAATTATTCGACGGAGCCGTTGCCGTAGGAACGACTTCACTCGGTGGATCCAGCACCGGACTGCTGTTCCGGCTGTTGGAAAACTTTTTCCGCTTTCGCTTGAGGGCGGCCAGTGCACCAAAGTGCAGATGGTAGTGATGGGAGGTGTCCTTGGGTTTGCCTCCGTGCGTCTTATCGCTGCCCCCATGATGGCCATGGTGTTTGGTTGGATCCGGAGATGCTTCCACTTCCGGTCGATCCAAGCTCGGATTCGAGTCCGATGGGGATTCCGTGATGGCTTCATCTGATGCAGGGCTGTTACTATGGCTGGCCGATTCGCCCCGTTGGCCGTGGTTACACACGGAATCCTCCGATCGGGAGCGACCGATAAACTTGGAAACGCTTCCGTGCTTGGCCGCCTCGATGAGAGTGCCTAAAAATGTAATAAGGGATGGAGTTAGCATGGTTCGAAGTATGGGGGTTCGTTAGTGGCAGCTTACTACCCCATCGTTTTTTCTGCGAGCTAGGTCTTTTGGAGTGGAATCTCGGTGCGAGTTTTGAAAGTTTGTGCATAGGATTGTTGTTTTCACCGAAGGAACTTTGGGACTGTGATGAATACTGATGCATGGGATTGACTTGGTGCAAGGCTTTCTTAGGAGTAAGACCAGGCCCGAACACTCCGGCAAACATTTCGTGTGGGGAATTTTCCGGAAGTTGTGATGTGAACTCGGAAACCGGCGTCAGATGCTGTCCACCTTCCGGAGCTGGAGGTGGAGCAATGTTGAATCCCTTCATTAGTCGACGTTCTTTCTGACGATTCTTCTTGCCACCGACACCGCTTCCTGATCCCGTGGCGCTGGTCGTGTTCATTCCGCTGTTCTTCAGAATTTCCACCAATTCGCATCGAAAGGCCGAGATGTCCTGTTTGATTTCATTGACGTCGTCTTCGGTAACCCCCTGGGATTCAGCTTTCCGTTGTTCGACGGTCACATATCGCCGCACCAGGTTCCGCATTATGCTCTGATACCGGAAGTCTCGTTCGCTGGCTTGCTTTACCTTCCGCTGAAACAAAACAGAAAACAAACAGGAAACAGGAGCAGAGCAAATAGCGGAAGAGGAAAGAGTTTCAACACATACAAGGAGATCCCGATCATAGAGCGATAGTCAGCGAAGAAAGATTCATCGGGAGACAGTGGATTTGGGCAACAAGGGGATACAGATTCGTGATATCACACATTAGAAACACTAGGTGCATTGTACGGTCAGCCCCCTCCCCTCCCCCTTCCAAGGTCCCGGGGAACATCCAGAGGAAGGGTTTAACTTAAATCATTACTCACTCGAATCGTCTTCATGTGCTCCTTTTTGACGGCCTTTGAATGTCCGCAGAATTTCCTCTTGACCCACTGGAAGACGTAGAAGGTGGATTTGGGCGTCGGGATGATGTTGAAGGGTGGTGGACATGTGCCTCCTTCTTCGAAATAGCTTATCCAAAGCTTGGATCGGGCAAACTTCCATTCCACATCGGCACGTTCCTAAAAGACACAATGAATCTTAATCTTTAATGCCACGAAATTATGAAACCATCTTACCGATATAAGCTGATATGAATGATTCATCATGGCAATTAGCAGATTCAGCAGCACCACAATGTTGATCACCGAATACGTCCCGAACATTAACATACCCCAGAAGCGAGTAAAAATTTTGATCCCATCCAGCTCGAAGTTCTCCAGGTCCACCAGACCAAACACCGCCCAGAACAAGGTTTGAATGGTTTCAAACAAGCTGAAATGTAGAACAAGTGATAAATGTTAAGATCGGACAAAGATAAAGGAAGTGTTAGCTCACTTTGCAAACCGCCTCCACACTACACATGCATTGGGATCCGTTGATGTCATGTTGGAAAACGCCGATGCTTCCGGACATCGTTTTTTCTCCAGATCGGCGTAGTACCTTCAAATGAAATTACCCTTTAATCACCCATTTCACTCAACGAAGAACTCAACCTACCACAGCAACTGGTTGAGACCACTGCTGAAGGCGAACAGCACCAGCACGTACAGGAAGAAGAACTTCATAATGTCCATCACCATTCGGGAGAGCGATACCTGCAGCGGTCCCAGGTGGGGATTCACCGAAAAGATGTACACCAGTTTCAGCGAGCTGAAGATGTTGGCAGCACTGAACAGACCCTCGGAGATCAGCATCGGATCCCAGGTGTCCCACTTTTCACGAGGCAGGTCCGCCGCAAACCTGTTGATGGCCATTTCCTTTTGGACCTGTTGATTGGGAAAACGAGGATATTGAGAAAGTTTAATGAAAAATAACGGCTACTTATGCTCGATAATTTAACTGAAAATTGCAAATGAGACAAGGGCTCTGAACATGATTGAGCACAAAAAAAATTGGACCAACCAGTGCGCAAAACAGTCAGGTTCATTGAGTCATTTTGATAGGCAAACATACTTTTGAACATAAAAACCAATAAATGATCCATAAAATATTGGAAAACGTTCCATAAAAAATATCCAAATGATCCATAAAACTTCGGAGAAAATCCTTAAAAAAGTGTGAATGATCCATAAAAAATATCAATATGATCCATATTTAATGTAAAATTTAGCAACACAATTGTAAAAATGTTCCGCTAAATTTCTAAAGAATGAGCATTGAAATTGTACGAATTACTAATAAACATAAACAATTGATCCATAATACATTCAGCAGTGAACCTTAAACTAAAGAAAGTGATCCATAGAAAATCATGTTTGCGCACTTAAAAATATAGCCATGTTCGTATTAATGAAAGCAACTTCCTCAGAGCAGTCTCGTTTTGGACAGCTTGAAGCTGAAATTGGTTTAATTAAACTAATATAAAATCAAAACCAATCTTAATGCTTACAATAAAACCTATTTCAGCTTCAAGCTGTCCAAAACGAGACTGCTCTGAGGAAGTTGCTTTCATTAATCCGAAAATTCTTGAAGAACAACATCGGATATAACCTCAAAATGTCAGAGGGATCAACACCACCGTTGAGTGAAGAACAGAACAGCGATAGAAACTGTACGCTTTGTGAAGGCCACGACCACGTAGATGATATGTTTCAGTGTGATGTCTGCGATTTCTGGACCCATTATAGTTGTGCTGGTAAGACAACAGCTGTAAAGGAGGTTCCGTAGACGTGCTCTAAGTGCACAAATATGCTGAAGGTTGAAAAAGGAACCAAGAAGTCTGTCCCAAAGAAACCACCTAGCAGAAATAATAGAGCGAGGAGTGATGCCGCAACCGAATCTGGAAAAGGAAGTGCCATTGAGGTCAGCCTGGAAGAATCCCTAGACAGTTGCTGCAGGAGAAAAGCGCAAATAAGAAAGCGCTGGAGGAAGAGAAATTCCTCCATGAAAAGCGATAGGATGCTGAGCGGGAGATTTTCAAACCGAGAGTTATCTTCCGTCACTCTTTCAACAAAGATTTGGCTAGATTTAGCATTTAGGGATTCAATTATTATTTTAGTTAAGCACGCAAACGATGTAGAATGAGCTACTTAAAGGGTGATACGGTCAAAATTTGGTCAATATCAACTTGACGTATTTCTTTCAATTTTGCATTTAAAAAACCTGAACACCCCTCATTTTGAAGGTGTGTGTGTGTAGAATGTTGCTCCTATTTTGATTTTGGAATTCACTCTTCAGTTGTCAAAATGCCGTCCAAGCAAGAAGAGCAGCGTATCAAAATTTTGCTCGCGCATCGCGAAAATCCGAGCTACTCGCACGCAAAGTTGGCAAAATCGCTAAAAGTTGCCAAATCAACCGTTACAAATGTAATTAAAGTGTCTGGGGAACGTTTGTCGACAACCAGGAAGTCTGGATCGGGGGGAAATCGAAAACCGGAAGCCGCTGAGACGACAAAGAGAGTTGCCGGTAGTTTCAAGCGAAACCCTAACCTCTCTCTCCGAGATGCCGCAAATAAGCTGGGTGTATCGTCTACAACCGTGCATCGAGCCAAAAAACGAGCCGGACTATCGACTTACAAGAAGGTAGTGACTCCAAATCGCGATGATAAACAAAATACGACGGCCAAAGCGCGATCCCGGAGGCTGTACACGACGATGCTGACGAAGTTTGACTGCGTGGTAATGGACGACGAAACCTACGTCAAAGCCGACTACAAGCAGCTTCCGGGACAGGAGTTTTATACGGCAAAAGGAAGGGGAAAGGTAGCAGATGTTTTCAAGCACATGAAACTGTCAAAGTTCGCAAAGAAATATCTGGTTTGGCAAGCCATCTGTACCTGTGGCTTGAAAAGCAGCATTTTCATAGCTTCCGGGACTGCCAACCAAGAAATTTACGTGAAAGAGTGTTTGAATAAACGTCTGCTGCCTTTCCTGAAGAAACACGGTTCCGTACTGTTTTGGCCGGATTTGGCATCTTGCCATTACGGTAAAAAGGCCATGGAGTGGTACGCCGCCAACAACGTGCAGGTGGTTCCCAAGGACAAGAACCCTCCCAACACGCCAGAGCTCCGCCCAATTGAGAAATACTGGGCTATTGTCAAGCGGAACCTAAAGAAGACCAAAAAAACTTCTAAGGGCGAGCAGCAGTTCAAGGCAAACTGGCTTTCTGCGGCGAAGAAGGTGGACAAGGTGGCTGTACAAAATCTGATGGCAGGGGTCAAGCGTAAGGCCCGGTAATTCGGATTTGGAAAAGCGGAAGCCTAACTAAATATTTTTCCTGAATTTTATACTAATTGAACTTGAAAAAGAAATTTAATTTGATTTTTTAAATAAACGATTTCACCGATTTACACGCGTTTTCCCTTGACCAAATTTTGACCGTATCACCCTTTACTAGTTACTTAGGGTAAATCATGTATAGGAACAAATTGTAGGTTACCAGATTTTAGGATCAAATTGTAGTATCTAGATTAAGCAAATATAGGGTTATTAAATTCAATATTTGCACGAATTCCACCTCCAACTAACCTACTTCAGTAGCTACATAGAGGTAACTTTAAGACCAGAAGGTCCCAAAGAAATGTGCTCAACTTTTTGGCTAAGCTCTGGTACTATTTTCGGTCCCAAGCTTATCGATGCACCCCTATAAAACACGAGAAAATCGACGAACCCCTCATTTTACCTGTCAAACTTTCATAGCGAATCAAAACAAATATTGTGTAGTACTAGAATTTTGACTAGAATGGGGTACGTTAATCGATTTGCTTGGGATCAATAGGCAAGTCAAGTACACTGAAACAAGGATCATAGTTGGAAATACTATTTTGCAGAAAACACTTATTATCAATATAACCACGCTTATTACTGTTAAATCTACTATGAATTCAGTATAGTTGACTACGAATGTAAAACAGTTTACTATGATTCTGGTGAAACTACTATGCTTGCTCAAAATGCATAGTAATTTTGATACAAAGAATAGTGAAATTAAATGAAATCTAGTAGCAATATAGTATTTTTGCCAATGGATTTTGTATCAGTGTAGTGAGCCAATTTAAAATCGTTAGTTTTGTATTGATTGTTGGTAGCTAGTTCACTACAAATAACTACAATTTAATTAAACGATAGGTATATTAACAAATTTAGGCAATTAAAATAATTTAGCTGTAAAACATTTTTTAGATGGTTTGGAATTGTATCTTCTTTTCCTCTTTTTTCTCGTTCATACTCCGACCTATCTAATAGCGAATTCGTTTATTATTCAGTTCCAACCTGGATCGGGTATCAAGATTGGGTCTGCTTGTTTTCTGACAAACGTCAGTTTGATCGTTTGTTTTTAAAACCCAGCTCAGGTTGAGGTTCGCACTGATAAAAAGTTCGGTTTCGCACTGGGTTGGAACTGGTTCCAACCCCGATAATAAACGAATTCGCTATAAGGTTTGGCTCAACGGAACTGTGAGTTCACAGTTCCGTTGAACCAAACCTGACGTCTGTCATTTCTGACAGCGACCGTTACCGTAGCTCTCTGAATCTCCCACAGGGTTGTCACTGGGTTTGGCGGTACATGGTTATCCCGATATTCCGAACAGCCATGATCAATAAATTAGGCGTATATTATTCACGTTTTGGACACTGTATTATTAATTTTGATCCATAAACCATGAAAAATTGCTCCATTACTGCTTAACTACTTAGATTTACTGTCCTGCTGTGTTTTTAGGTAGATGTGCGGAGCGGACGGTGGTCAAGCGTCTAGAATAAGCTTCCAAAAGAAGCTTCTATAATAATCTTCTTAAGAAAAAATGAAAAATAAATGTGTTCCAATTATAGTCTATATCGAGGGAGCGACACATCCAAATCTCAATTCTAGATGCTCAACAGATCTACCACTAGCGAATCAATCTTCGAAAAATATTCTTTAATTTCTCGCATCTACTTGCATCATGCCTCATCTTTTTACAGGAAATCTTCAGAATCGTCATCAATCTTCTTTCTATCTACTCAGCGTGCGCGCAGCTAGCCGAAACAAAACACATTTTTTTCCTGCATCGTAGCTAGAGTCACCCCCCTCGGTCTATATACATATGTTTTTTTTTTTTTTTTAATTTGATCAATAAACCTTGGAAAATTGCTACATTACTGCGTAGCTACTCAGGTTTACTGTTCTGCCCGTGTTTTTTTTTTGTCAGAAGAGCAGAACGATGGGCGAGCGTCTAGAATAAGCTTCTTAAAAAGTTTCTAAATGAAGCTTCCATAGGAAGCTTCTTAAGAATATTATTATAGAATCTTCTTTTTGGATGCTAACTGTAGACGCTTGCCCGTCGCTTCGCACATCTACCTTAAATACACTAAGTAGATAAGCAGTGGAGCAATTTTTCAAGGTTTATGGATCAAAATTTAAAAAAATAGTGTCCTAAACATGAATAATATACGTCTAATTTATGGATCATGCTTATATTTTTAAGTGTGCAAACTTGATTTTTTATGGATCAATTGCAATACGTTTATGGACAATTCGTACAATTCCAATGCACATTATTTAGAAATTTAGTGGTACATTTTTACAATTGTGTTGCTAAATTTCACATAAAATATTGATAATATTGATATTTTTTATGGATCATCCACACTTTCTTAAGGATTTTCTCCGATGTTTTATGGATCATTTGGATGTTTTTAATGGAACGTTTTTCAATATTTTATGGACCGTTTTATCAATTCTAAAGGTGCAAACTTAGGGCTGCCATTTTGATATGAATAAGAACTGCCATCTGCCTCATCATTCCCTGCCCCGTGAGAGTCTGAATGATTCAGAGGTAAACGAGTCA